GAGGCGAGGGCGAACTAGTATGTTTGTTGTTGCACTAACTGTGGGCGTAGTGTTATCCGGCGGGACCCCCGGCGGTGGGTCCGGCGTATTTAAGTCCCCTTCCTCGACCGGGTCGATGAGGACGTTTCGCGGGCGATGCTTGTTGACGTTCGCGTTTGTGTCGGGTTGGTAATTTGCTGCGCTTACCACCAGAGGGTTGGGATGATGGTCGGCTCTATCGAAGAACCGTTTGGTCAGGTCTTTAAAATATTCGCGAATCGTCGGGAGTCTGCAATCGCTGTGCAGGGCGACGTTGCGTTGATACCACTGCGCACCGGTTGCGCGGCGGATGAACTTATTTTGTACTATTTGCAACTTGTACAAGCGAGTAGGGTGCGTGTGGGCAAAGGTCATGCATGCGTAGGACATAATAGGTCGTACGCAGGTCTTATATAATAATAATTTGTGCCTTAAGGGCATTTTACTTTTAGCGTTAGTTAAATTGTGTAGCCGGCCGGAGACGAACGCGGCTCTATTGCGAACGTTATTAATGTGCGTATTAAATGACATACGCGAGTCGAAAGTGACTCCTAAGTATTTGACCTTTTTCTCCCAGAGGAGCGGTTGGCCATAAAGGGATATTTGCCCAACTTTCTGCATTGACGAGGGCCATTATAAAGATGTGACGGGTAAGTACTTCGTGTGAAGTGAATCGCCACACTCTTTTCGGGATTTATTTCTATTCTCCATTCCGTGGCGCAGTTGTCGAGGTATTGGTTTCGGCGCCGGGAGTCGTGGGTTCGATTCACACACAGGTCAAGTATTTGTATGACCCACAGATAATTGTTTTGCATCTGGGTGTTTAACCACGTGAAATTTATGTTTGTAAAACGCTCTTACAACGCAGGATAACTTTATTCTACAGTAAGTTTAAAAAAAAACACCGTCCTACCGAGGTACGAGGTCCGATGGTAGAGCCTTCTGAAGAGGGGGAAATTACACTAACTGATACACAGACCGATTCAGTACCCGATACTGGATGCCACCTCTATTACTTCTTTGTACTACTATTGCTAGTGTTAGCTGCACTATTAAACGTGGAGCAAGTAGGAAGATGCGCTTTATCTGGGAATGAGAAAATAGGGGGCGCTGAGATGCATGGTGCAGAAAACGCGTACAGTGGCCGCATTAGCGATTGGATAAAAACCTATTTTTGACGAATCCCGATTTGGAGTTAGATCAGGTTCGAGAGGAGTGAGCGTCGATCGACATCCCGGAGACAGGGAACGACTGAGGTATGCTCAGGAAATTTATCCCTGCGGTGGTCAACAGTAATGGTTTGGTCGAAACACATAAAGGACAGACGAACTGAGCTCATTGTCATAAATGACGCTGATTTTGAAGCAAAACATTCTGCGGCCTCATTCTTCCGTATTAACAGATTTTTATTAGATTTATATTTAAACTAGCGACCCGCCACCGCACGGGTGCAATGTATTTTATACATGTAAACCTTCCCCTTGAAACAATCTATCTAGTAAAAAAAACCGTATCAAGATCTTTGTGTAGTTTTAAAGATCTAAACATACATAGGGACAGACAGACAGCGTATATAGTGATTACTTATATTTTATTCCGAAGAACGACAATGCTCGTTGCCATACAGCCAGGAGAACTCAAAAAAGGCTCTTTGGAATGGGAACAAAAATTTTGAACGGAACGAGAACATTTAAGTTCTGATATGGCCTGCTTAAATGCCGGGCTTAAAACCAATTGAGTACGCCATACCCATAACTAGGTAGAGATAAGGCCAAGGGAATGATGAGAGTTATTACTGCGTTACAAAGATCAGAGTGATATCGAATTGTAATAAAATCCCGTTCCAAGGTCTAAGTCTAGGCGGTTGAAGAAAAAGGGGAAAATATTCACCTGTGTGGAAGAAATGCGCCCATAATTATGCAAAATGTCGGTCGGCTGCTTGAGCATTTTCTCTCGTTGGTCAAGAACAATAAACGTGCAGTTTCTGAATAATCAAAAGACACCATTACTAACTGACACGGATTTGTGTAGGCACTGACGCGTTTTATCTATATATACAAGTAACAAAGGAAATAACACTACAAGAGCAGTAAAGGAGTAAAGTAACAGCCTATATATGTCCCACAGCTGGGCAAAGGCTTCCTCTGTGCAAAAGGTACTCGAGCATAGCTCAGGCAGCGACCCCACTGCGGATCTGCGGATATCTTCGAAAAAATTTTTTTTTGTTATTATTTCGAAAATATGCATTTCTTCTCATGGAGTTTTCCTTCATCGCTGAGCACGTGTTAAGTCAGCACTTAAAATTAATAATTTCATTGGTTCCGGCCCCCAGGATTGAACTCAGGTTTCTGGAGTACATTGAAATAAACCGAGCGCCCGAACTATGAGCTATCACGGCTCACACGAGCAGTAACCGATACTTTTCTTAATTGTTTACATTTGAGAGACCGTGACTAATGAGTAGATTTGAAATAGAGTATGCTTGTAGTATAAGTAACATAGGAGAACAAGAAGAGAGTTAAGTTAATAAAGTTTAAAACAAATTGTAGACGATAAGTATTGGAGCTTAAAAATAAATAAACAAAATCAAGCCAATTCGGGCACCAACAAATATCGTATTAAATGTCATCAACGGTAAAAAAAAAAATAAAGTTATATTGAATAAAATTTCAATAAAACGACAATAGAAAATTGAAAAATTACAAGCGAAGCATAACGAAGACTTGAAAAAGCTAATTTGTAGACTCATCTTGCAATTGTCTCATGTATGACAAATACGTCTATACGGCATACTGGCCTCATTAACCGTTAATTTTTTTACCCGAAAACCAGCTCTTGTCTACCACCTCACACAGGTAAAATTAATATTAGATTTACCGAGCCAGTTCAGTAACAGCCTAATCACTTTTGCCTTGGACACACATATTATAATCGTACGGGAAAGCTGATACTGCGAAAGAGGAGAACCTCTTCGTCCGATGGCGCGGATGTCAGCAACAAAATATTGTATTCCTGCAGAGCGTCTAGTTGTCCGATGATGGAATTGGAGGGGGAATTGAATTATGCTATTCCTGTGCAAACTATTCGATATGTCGGTGGCACACGTAACCTCTAGAACACGGATGCTGGTTCATAAGTACAGATATCGACGGCAACTCGAAAAAAACCGCCACTCGATTAGGCCAGGAGTTCTAGGAAACCGCAAGTACTTATTCATTGCTCTAGAGGGCCTGCCCCAATGGTGGAGGAAACAATAGAAGATCCCTTGTCGACCGATTTCGCCTAAATTCGTACTGGCGGTCGCTAAGAAAATCGTTTTTCTCGAGTTAAGGCAAATAGGCCTTAACCGATTACTTTAACACGATGCCATTTTCTTGAACATACAAGAGCAATAATTGAATGCAATAAATTGCGCGCAATAATTGTTTAGACCATTTGTTGTTTAGACCACGCAACTCATTTATTGCTTCAATTTAATTGTATACAACAGGCAAGAAACTGGCATCATGTAAATGGGCCTTTATGCTATGAGGCGGGCGTTCAATATACGCTCCATTATTCCACAGAGTATTAAGGTGATTGACATATGGTGGTCTATAACTTTCAAGGTAATCACGATTGTCTTAATTTGGTACAGGCTGTACATTAACCAGCTTTCAGGATTTAGGCACTACATCTAGTGGTGAAATAGAGATGGAACAGACTTAGCCAAGGAGACAACACAGAAGCCCAAGTTTGCAGAACTATTGCTGGTGTACCATTCGTTCCATTAGCATTGTTCAAATCCAGACCCTATAAATTTAAGGTGTCTGGAAGTGCCTCTGGCATAAAGGTGCAGCAATTCGGTTGTAAAGGTGTGATGATTTTGTTGGAGACTAGTGGTAAACTGCAAGCAAATAGAAGTGTAAATAAATTTGCCTTGTCCATGCCCACAGGGGTCAATGAGCCATCCAGTTTTACCAAAAGTAATAGAGACAATTGAAAGACTCTGGTTTGAGACCAAAAAGCTCTGTTGCCAGAAGTTTGAGCAGAGACCATGTGCAAATTCATTGAATACTGTATAAATCAACACAAGTCTCACATTTCTTAATGTGGTATATTAAATTTTAAGTGAATGTTTAAAGTTATAATAATTATAAAATATTATTGTTGTGTATGAAATTTGAAAATATTTTATACAGTTAGGTACAATTATTAAGTTTTGTTACTGTTTCAAATTCCATATACATATATTGTTATGAATACTAAGTACTAATAATTTTAGGTGGAAGAGATCTCACTAATAAAATTTAAAATGATTTTGGCGTTTCCTACAACCTCTGGGTTACATAGAAATTAATACTGTAAAAACTTAGACTGGCAACTTATTGTTAAATCAATTATGCAACCCATGCAAAGTGTAGGTCATTTAGATTACAACACAGTTATATGACATAAAGATAATTGTTATATATCTGGGTATTTATAAATGTTAAACACCTTACAGTGGAATGTGAATAAAAGAAAAGTGTGCTGATAATATTATTAACGCATTTTCTGGTGCATATAAACATATTTTTTTTTAGTAAAAACTTTTTTCTTCAATTTGAGTATTTAATTTTATATAGCTTCCTTAAATTAAAAATATCTTAAACCGTTCTCAGTATTTTGTAGAATTGGTAAAAAGATGATAAATTTCATGGCTGCCAGGCAACCAGTGTGTATAGCCATTACATAACATAAACAATACAATATAGACCAGATCTCTTGTAAAGTTGGTGATGATTTCTTGTAATATATTAGCTAATAATAATATTGTATTACTTGTGCTTACTCTAATTTTATTCTTAATTGAAGAACACATATAACAGAGTATTAAAACTGCTTTTATTTAGTGGTGAAAATACATAATTACTTTTTCGGTTCAACATGCAAAATATCTAACATTTTAAAGAAATCTCAACAAGCTCATTGAAACATTCCTGATAATATAACATTTTTACCTTCTAGCCAGATGAAGCCTTTCCTGAGTGGTAAGGTGCTCCACCTGCACCATCTCAGCAACTAAATCTGAGTGCTCCATATTTTCTTCTTCCTAAAAAACCAACAAACAACACACGAAAACATTAAAACCCAGAAATGTATTTCTATATGAACAAGTCAAGTAAATCTTAGTACAAATAGAAATATAGTACATGGAGGACTGAGGTTTTTATTTGTAAATCATGTATTTTGGAAATTAAAAAAATAAAAAATAAAGAAAGCAATGATCTGGTAGAGAAAAAATGTTATATATATATATATATATATATATATATATTTATACGCTGTGGCAACAAATGAAAAAGTGTCTGAATGTATGAATCAGTTAGTTGTAGTTGTATAGGATGTTATAAATTTTGTTTCTTTTTTATTTAATTAGTTTGTTTGAAAAAATATTTTTTTAATTATGGATTTTTTTTACGTTTTATATTTTTTTATGATTATTGGCAAGTAGCTTTAGACGTATGTTAATTTATTGTCGCGGTTGTAACGACACGCCGTATATATACAGCGTGTCGGTACAACCGCAACAATAAATGAACACACTTATAGTGGATAACTTTTTAAAATTGTATTAAGCATTTAAATTCTTTAACCATTTAAATATTTATAGAGTTATTAAATTTTACAAAACAAACATTTTTAGAACACTCTTACGAATAAAACTGTAACGTAAAGGTCATTTGTAAAGGTCACAAAGCATATGAATGGGTCGAATGAATTTAAAAGAGATAAAACACACAGTCAGAAGGAGAGACTTGTGATGCGACGTTGTGGCAACGAACGAATAAAAATGTATGAATCAATTGTAGTTGTACAGGTGTTAAACATTTTTTTTATTTAATTAATTTGTTTAAAAAATATATTTTTTTAATTGTGGATTTTTTTAACATTTTTTTTAATCATTAATGGCAAGTAGCGTTAGACGTGTGTTCATTTATTGTCGCGGTAGTAACGACACGCTATATATATGAATATATATACAAGAATTGCTTGTTTAAAGGTATTAGATAATAAAGTCCATAGCAGGCTACACATTTTAATACAAGGGCTTCACAATTACATAATTTTAATAAATATATTTTTATGTCCCAAACTAAGCAATGCTTGAACATATACATGTTTTGAAAGTAAATACAGGTTATACATATACAGCGTGTCGTTACCATCGCGAAAATAAGTGAACACTCGTCTAACGCTACTTGCCAATAATCATAAAAAAATATTAATGTTAAACAAAATCCATAATTTAAAAAAATATTTTTCAAACAAACTAATTAAGTAAAAAAGAAACAAATTTTGTAACATCCTATACAACTCGCGCCACAGCGTCGCATTACAAGCCTCTCCTTCTAACAGTATGCTTTGTCTCTTTTAAATTCATTCAACGCATTCATATGCTTTGTGACCTTTACAAATGAACTTTAAGTTACAGTTTTGTATGTAAGGATGTTCTAAAATTCTTTGTTTTGGAAAATTTTATAACTCTGTAAATATTGATCTTTAAGGAATGTAAATGTTTAATACAATTTTAAAAAGTTATCCCCTATATGTGTGTTCATTTATTGTCGCGATTGTAAAGACACGCTGTATAAACACTCAGACACTGGAAAGACACTATGTTCATCACACAATATATTTCCAGTAGTGGGGAATGAACCCACTTCCTCTGGCGCTAGAGGCAGGTGCACTACTCCCCACGTCAATTGGGTCGCCAACTTCATTATAATCATATATTAAGTTATCAAAACTCTATTTTGTTTACATGATAACATTATCCCTATAAGAACAACCCTCCAAAGGATCTGATTATTTACTATTTTTAAAAACTCTTTATTCATACAATATGTGCATATATTTATATCTGCTTAGATATTTAATTTCTATACTATTTTTAAACAGTTTAAATTCATTCCCCTATACTGGATTAAACAATCTTTATATATAAAAATGGATTGCTGTTCGTTTGTCTCGCATAAACTCGAGAACGGCTGGACTGATTTAGCTAATTTTGGTTTTGAAATATTTGTGGCAGTCCAGGGAAGGTTTAAATGATGAGAAGTTATGGAAAATCTAAATAGCAATAATTGTATTGTCCCATACAAACTGTTCCTACCTGTCAACCATTTTATGTGTGTATTCTGAAAATTCTTTTTCTATGTGTTCCGATTCATAAATTCCCTAGAAATAATTTATATCGAAAAACAATGTTTGCCAGGTCAGCTAGTAAACAATAAAGAAGTAAATCTATTTAATTTGAAATACTTTTAAATTCCTACTCTTTTATATCTTTTTGTTATATTTTGAAAATCAATAAAGAAAAGGTTTGAGAACACTTATTGATAAAATATGTATGATTAGATAAATATAAAGTAGCCTTGATAACTATTTTATTGTTATATGATCTTAACAAAATGTTACATGAAATAGTAACAAAGTATATAGTTTCACTAAAAACAAACCCCTGTTTGTTTACAGTAAAGTTTTAAACTCTAAAAATATATTGATTTAACTTTCAAGTGAAGCCTAACAGATTTAGAAAGGCACCATCACAATTAATGTTTAAGTTAATAATAACAATAAATCTTCAACTAGTGAATAACTTGAATCACTTTATTGGTACATCATTTTGTTTATTTTTTTAAGTTATTTATTTAACTTACCGCAGTCGTTTATAAGTACAAAGCAAAAGTATGTTTCATTCTGGTCTTATTGGCTTTAGCACACATAGTACTCACAAACATAACATGTAACACGTATCGAACCGCTTTCAACCAATATAAATTTGTTTAATGCAAAGTCTTATAAATAAATGACATTTTCCGTTATTTTTCATGCAATTTATAAACAGAACGAAAACCACAAGACACAACAGGCAAGTAAGCTGGCAACAGATTATGCTAAGTTACATTTTACATTTCGACGTTCTAACCATCAGCTGTCACGTGACATTCAATACAACAGATGTATAAATTTTCGTTTTCGTCGAAAAATTTACCTTATTAAAATTAACAGTAATTTGTTTTCAATTAGGAATGATTATAATTTATGGAACACATTTTTTATTTTGAGCGTTAAATATTTCTCCGAAATTCATTAAGAATGAAGATGTTTTTAATTATATCAAGTTTACTATGAGTGCATTAAAACCTATGAAGTTAGAACTAAATTGTTAATATCTTTTTTTTACTAAGGTATATCTCGTGCGACCATTTGTTTGCCGGAAGTTATTGACTGCGTGGATACGGATCTTTTTTTTCCGACGGATATCCGTGAATGTATTTCAAGCGAAAACTAAAAATGTCCATACGATGTCCATAAATATTGATATATTTTTTAACTCCCCATCCCTAATAATGAATGGGCCTCTTGTAGGAGTGAGCTATACTAGGTTAAATCGAGTACCTGTTTCGCCTGTTCCTATTTCTTAAAAGTAACATTGACAAGTACCTGTTACAAAATAACAGCCTATTACTTAATACTATGTTTTTTTGTTTTTTTAAATAAAAATCTGTTTATTGATCTAATATTATATACTATGTTTTGACAATTTGTGTAACTGTTACCACAGTATTTTACTCTACGGTAACGTCCATACTTCTCTTTCTAACAAAGCTATAAGACCGATGCAAGCAAAATAAAGAGCTTGTAACAGTGACACTGTTTAGTAACAAGTAACAACTGACTGTAAGTTTTTAGCTCTTTAACATTCGTAAGCATGAATAAAGAAAAGCTTGTGACAGCGTGTTAAGGAACAACTTGTGTTGAACAGAAACTGTTATTCATGTTTGTTCGTAACAGGTACAGTCTGTTGTCTCGAGATACCTGTTATATTTACCTGTTACGATAAATACGTCTCACTCATAGCATCTCTACCATATCTGTGGTTCATAGTCTATTTAGTTAGGAAGCGCACGGATAGAACGGCTATCATACCACCGGTCGTCTTACCACAGACGATAAATACATCTGGATGTATAGACAAATGGATATCAATGGAATGGATGGATAAAATAGGAAAAAAATATGTCATAGATTGAAAAATAGATATAAATGGACTACCAAACATATTTATAATAGGTATATTCTAGACGAAGTTCGTATTACTCAACATATTATAATGATTCTTTGTTAATCGTTACTAAATACTTGGCCCAGAGAATTGATAATCAAAATTTATTAATTCTTATAAAAGTTGTTCAATCTCTAGCCAAACACAGCTGCAATGCACAGACTGTAGTAATGCATCGTATGAGTACTATACTAATAATTTCTAGCGAGATTTTTTTTGTAGTCAATAAAAAGGATTCCCTCTGAATCTTTTTGTGCCACTGCATGTAAACCTAATTCGACTCTGCCTTATAATCGTGAACCCATGTTTCATCTCCAGGCAAAATTCGCTTTTTCCTTGTTTCTCCAAAGGGTGGCAAAAACTGGCGACAGTACTCAACTTATTCCTGCTTTTGCATCTTGGACATTCTCGATACCCACTCGTATACTCCTCTTTTTTAGCTGACATGCAGAAGATTCCGTAAAAATATGAGTTTTTCAAGGTTTTCCACGTGTTGCTGTAGTTGCCTCGACACGTCGCCCATGTTCAATTGAATCCCAGCCGAGAAAACTTGAAACCAAAGAGATTGCGCCATTTGTAAGCCATGGTTTTATCAGGGCAAGAATCCCCATAAATATTCAAAACCACTTTTAAAATTTATAATGTCATTGGTCTTGCCATCATGATGTCAGGTTCATCGAGGATGTTGATTTAAAGCAGGACGCAGCTATTACGGCTCAAATACTCTACACTTCATAGGATTTTAAAATGTAGGTAATATCGATGTACCCCTCGACGACGATGCTATATGAACGTTTCTTTATTACGTACTTTTGGTCCTTTTTATTAGAATTATACTAAGTTGCAAATCTGTGTATAAGACCGTGATGTAAACTAATAATTATTAATGAATAATTAATAATCATTGGTGTACATACAATAAGACATTCATTATGAAGAAGACAAATGGACTATCGTATAATTTTGTATATGCGAAAACTAAATGAAAATACCTGCATTCACATAAAATTTTTATTTTCAATAAATTACACGATCTATCATCAAAGTTTTCACAATTTTAACATTTTTAAACAAACGAGTTAGTAATGAGCCATAATATAAACTAGGCACTATAAATTTCAATTGACACACCATATTTCACAAAAAGCTTGTTGGCACAAGCTCGCATTTATGCCCATTTTATAATTGGCTAGATACAACTAGATACAACAAAACATTTTCGCCTGCGGTAAAGAAATTAATATTTTCTTCATGTTGTAGGTATTTCGATTATGTACCGCAGTATGCGTGTGGGTATTTGTAAATCATAATGTGGGAACTGAATACCGAATAAAAGTTAGTTGGTTCACTCGTGCTCTTTCATTAACGTGCCCAATTAACCCAACTTAAACACATGTTCCTTTTATTTCACTCGGCGTATACAAAATATTAATATCTATTAAAGGTACTGCTACACACGATAGGTAATAAAGATTTTTACTTTAAACCATCCATCCACTTCTGTTGTGCCCCTTCCATATAAATCTATGAGACGTCCGCGACGTTTGCGGGTTTTGTGCTTAGCCCCTCAATATTTTATCAATCTGGCATCGGCCGCGTATGTCGAAACATGCTATCGTTATTTCCGTAGTATTACTTTACTCTATCCAATATCCATGCTACTTTGACACTCAACTCAACTTTAACCCAAACATTACTACCGTTTAAAATTATCTTTGTTCATTCAACACTTCCATGTGCCTAAGTACTAAGCTAACTAAAAATATTATCAATTAATTGATAATTAATATTTATAATTAATAATAATTATTAATTAATTTAAGTTGATTAGTGTTTATGCAATGCCTCCTTTTTCGCGACGTAATAATGTAATAAATAATAGGGAGTCTATTGAAATTTAGTAGTAGATCATTTTCACCAGGCGTTTTGTTGTTTCTTCATAATTTTGATTAGTATATTTTCAAACGAATAATAATTAGTAAAATAGTTACTTTAGATTCTTGTTTCCTGTTGGGAAGTAAATAAACCAGTAATAATATAAAATCGTTCGCAAAATATCATACAAATCTTTGCGGTCCCAAACTCTACTCTATTATCGTAAAAATATTAGAAATAATGAAAATATTGTACTATTGTCTATTTGCACCTATTTTAATAAATTTTCTACATAAAAACAAGTGCTTTTCTAGGCTATGTTTATAATTGAACTAAATTAACTCTTAATATGATTCCAAGCACTCAAAAATAATAAACCAAAAATGAAATTGTACAAGAACGACGTATATTAACTATCGTTAGCCACAATAATATATTTTTTTCGAATGACTTTTCGAACAAACTTTTCAGACGCAAAATTTTCAGCCACGACACTCCAGTTTCTTAAAAGGTTTAGAAGAGAAATATCAATAAAGGAAAGAATTTAATTGGTCAAGAAGTCCTATTTAATTGGTAATAAGTAAGTGATAGGCCTTTAATAAAACCATTTTTTTGGTAATGTAACATTTTTATAATACATTTTAATGGTAGGTAAGCTGAAAGAGCATTTTACAATTGAATAATTAGAAACATCTAGATATTTAAAGCGGTAAATTAAAATTTAAATTATTTTATACCTGGTTTTTATAGTTTGGGCTTTAACAACGATAAAAAGGGAATTTTTTTTTTGCATTATTTTTAACTCGCACTTCAATTTTTCGTTGCAAATAAATTCTCAGTGAAATCGACCATTATTAAGGTTGTGGCACGCCGTGATAGTGATAGGTAAAAGTGTAGGTCCAACTAACGTCCAATTAAACTTAATTAAAACAGCGCCTTTTTAACAATTATCTATTAAATGCCTACGTTATCCATGGAATTACTATTTTTGTATTTTAAGTCCATGGTATAATCTTGTTTTTATTTATTTCCAGCATCAAGCGATTTTAAATTAAGAGGAGAACAGGTTTATTGACATTGTATAAAAAATATTATGGGGCATAAATCTTAAATAATAAGCTATTTACATCAATAGCTGATAGGTAATATTGTACTACTTAATTCTATTATTGTACTATATTATTTTAAATTCTTAACGCATTTTGCATCTACAGCTAATACTTCAAACGGTGCTGTAATGCTGTTTATTGGCAAGTAATTCACCTAAACTTCAATCATAATAGAAGCATTTATTTATATTTTTAAAGGTAGTATAAAACTAAGTGGCTCAATTTGCCAATGACATGTGGTTCAATATTTCTTTTTAAACAATATTTTGAAACACGGAAATCTTATCTGCTTTGTGTTCAGCTAAAAAGGCTTGAAATTTAAATTACCATAATTGAATTAACTTTAAATTAATATTTTTACTATCGTCAAAATTGTTTCTATATTATGTAGTTTATATTTCTTTCTTCAATTATTTTAAATAAAGTAATGTTGAATAAAAAAAATTAAATACTTACATTGAATATTAGAGAAAGAATTATTAGAATTATAATATCATTCCAGCGTTATTGTAAAAATTAATTTACATCTATTAAATATTGTCATTGGCAACCATTACCGTATTTTTTAAAATTAAATATTTGTGTCATAACATTTACTTATTCTGGCTTACAGTGACCTACTTTCATGCCTTATTTTAACAGTAAATACAATTATAAACACCATACAAAAATACCGTTGGAGCTACTTGGATCAATGAGCACCAAAAACAATTGTTTTTGCTCATTGCTCCAAAGTGATTTGCCCATAAATAACTTTACTATTGAAATCATTATGATATTAGCCAGTGAATAAGAATTAAACCCACAAATTATTGTACATTCTAATGAGTTTCATGATTGTTAGGATTTTATTGATGTTCAATAGTCAAAATATGTAAAAGTTGTGACGTGTAAATAGCAGGATTTCTTTTTGTTTAAATCCTTAGCCAGAGCTTATTAAACAAATATCACTTAAAAGTAATTATTAAGATTTAAAACGAAGCATTAACTTTTACTACATTGTGTCGCTATATCTAAAGGTGGACGCTTCACGTGGCCGTTTGTATGTTGTATTTAGCCAAAATTGGCGACATAGTTAAGATTCATGATCACACTACAATCTTCCTTACGAGGTTTAAGAAATAGTTTCCCATTTGTTTGTTTTTATGAATACAAATTGTCACGTGAAAAGACACTTAGAGAAAACTTTGCCGTACATTAGAATTTGCTTCAAATTATTGACACCTCTCATTTTACCCTATAGAGTATGGGGTAAAATGGGTAGGTATAGGGTAACATATGTTAAAAAATATGACGATGCAATGAAACGGATAAGTTGATTATGAAAAAATATATTTTATTTTACTGAGTATTTCACCGTATTCGAACACCAAGAAAATTAAAATGTTATGCCCCAAAGTTTGGGTACTTACCGTACCAAAAAACTAGCTTTTTAACATAATTCATAATATGCGATAAATGATCATCTATAATTTACTTCCTTGATTGTCCGTGTAATAGGACGTATTTGATCACAACGAACTCCTTTGAGATGTATAATAATAATGGTTCAATTCTTTGCTTTTGAAATAAAAATGAAAGTATTCACTTTGTCTGCCGGCTGATCTCTGAGGTTTTCCTACTGTGAAAACCTTTAATCTCTGATTTAACTAATTTATAAATATTAGTTTATAAACGGCCTCTTTCTTTTAGCAATAATGATAACGATTCTATTTATAAGGTAATACAACAAAGTTAAAATCATAGATTCATCGAGTGTCTCCTGAGTCAAGGGTTGATCTACAAAAGTTGCAGCTGACGTAAAATACGCACTGGTAAATTAACGAAATGCAAACAAGGTACTTTCCAATGTTACTTAAATTTTATGTAACATTATGAACCATGTTCCATTAAATATTAGCTATTTGAAAAGACTATTATGTTCAATTCTTTATAAAGGAAAAAAAATATTTAACACACAACCTCAGCCATACCACATTTGAACTAGTCTACTATCGGCATAGCTACCATTTGAAACATTTTTACTATTATTACACCACAGATTCACAGCACGAATTAGACAGTGTCGTTCAAAATAACATTTGCGATTATATTTGCGAACGCATGTTACTCTAGTGTCCTATACCTGAGCAGTGGCAACCTGTCTTGGTTGCCACGACGCGGTACTCAGGTGTTCTCATCGGAGGAGTCGTCTGATGACGAGCTGGTTAGGAGGTTGGGGGTCATGGTCATTTGCCGGATGAATGGCTCCCGCGGTAGACTTTGTTGCCCCAACGCCAGCCGTCTAACGCCCATTCTTTCACTCTCTGGCAGTGATTTGCTGCATTTTTCTTCTGTTATTGCATCTCGAGACAATGACCTAGAATATGTAAAGTAAAGTTACAGCCCATAAATGTCCCACTGCTGGGCAAAGGCCTCCTCTGTACAGAGGGCATTAAAGCATAATCCACCACGCGGCGGATTTCAGATATCTTCAAAACACTTTTCTTTTGTGCATATTTCGAAAATATGAAGGTTACTTCACAATGTTTTCCTTAACTGCTTACTTGAAATCGATTCATATATTGACTTCTTGATTTTACGCAAATATTATACATATTAAATTAAACTAGTCTGTCTCGTGACTATGAACGCTGGAAAGCGGTTGAATCGTCGGTAATTACAAAATCAAAACTAAAATGCCATAAAATCCGTCAACTAGTTGGATTCATATAGTTTACTTGTTCTAAAATTCCTTCGTTCTTAAGCGCTAGTAATGGGTTAAGTTATTAGTCATCAACAATTTTTTTTATATTTCCCCGTAATAGCGACAAATTGATTCGTGATACTCTCTTTGTTAGTGATATATTTTGAATCTTACCCAGTCAACTCCAACATAGAGCCTCGTCTACATTGGCCTCTGTGTGGGCCTTGCATTATACTCGCTGGTCTGGTCGAGGCACCGAGTGGGTCAGAGTGAGCGACGTCTTCCATGAGTAGGACCGACGGGCCCCCCAGGCTTGTACTCCGTTTCGACAGTAAATTTGGACCAGCCTTCGAGGAGGCTACGGAGTCTCCCTTGACGGAAGAACCCTCGCCTTTGCACCCGTCGGTTTTATTGCCCTCCGTTTCAGACCCTGAGAGCAGCTCCGGTGCCCCCTGAGTGGAGCTCGAGCTCTCTCTTCTGAACAGACCTATGATAGATTTTGGATGTTTTGGCTTCTCTATACCACCTAGTTTTAGGACGGCAATGATGGTTTTTTTTTACAACGGAGGGGGAGGGAAAAAAAGAAAAGTTTGGATGAGAAAATATACATTTAAAATACGTAGTTTACAACACAAAATAATTGAAAATATATTGGTAGTAAAGTGAACTGTGGTGTGTACATTTTCAAACTACGTATATACCTAGATATGACTGTTGAAATAGAGTGAAAATTATAACTATTATATTAAATGTGTCTTATAGAATGTAAAAATAACCATACAAAGATAATCATTGTTTCAAAAATTAATTATTCCCAGTCTCATCGGCAAATTAAAATTGCTTACTATTTTCAAGCAACTTATACACGTACATATTTCATGAAATATTAAACATTAACTTTCCAAATATTAATTTCGTTATTTTTTAAATTATAAAGGTTTCGCTAATTTTCATTTTGCCTTTGAAATATGTGAGAAAGGGATGTTTGCAGCCTAAAAAAATACTTTTTCATTGTTTTGCGTGTGTGAGTGAATGAATTTTATGTTTCTAATAAATATAAAAAATAAAAAAATCAATAAAATATAAATTTGCATTTATAAATAATAAATGATAATAACTATTGCCATATATGAAAAATAACTATGAAACCAAAGTGTAAATACAACAATGAAAATAATTATATAAAATGCGCTGGGTATTGTTATGGGGAGTTTGAGTTATGCACTCATATTATATCCATTTGATAATCAACCTCATAAATATTTTTTCCTCAAAATTAACTTTTTTGTATATTAAAGCCAAGCATTAAAATGTACCATAATGAATGTTTACTTCACACTTACTCGATTAACGATTCTTGTTGAATTCGAAAATGTATCCCTAATATTCGTATTGGATGATATCCAATATCGTTATAATAATGAATATGTTCGTAAAAATTCAATTAGTGAGATAATCAAATAAGGTTTACCTAAAAACGTTGCCGACGGAGAACTATAAGCTAGATACTCCTTATTGGACGCCCATGATGGGAACTCGGATTGTTTGAGGGCACCTGATCCCTCAGTCTCTTCCCGTTTCCATGGTAACATAGTCTCGGTAGCCGTAGGGGTGGCCACCCGAGCCTGCTCCGCCACAGTCATATAAGTATCTGCATAAAACAGAACGTTCTAGAAACGCTTTCATAATATGTCGCAACATTATTTTGAATTTTAAAGTGAATAACTGAACCTTGGATGGCTGATTTAAAACATCACACTAGAAGAATGGACAAAATTCGTAATATAATATTACAGTAAATAATCACACACGACATGTGAAACCATGGTTTATTGAAACTTTAAATTTTTTCCTCTTACCATTATCATCCGACAATCTTCTTTCATCCTCCTCGAGGATATCCTCATTCGGTACTAAAATTAAAACAACTTCTTTTAATTTCAAAGTTGTTAAAATAAGTTGTTGTTGTGAAAATTTAATTCCTTTTTTGAATGACTTCTACAGCTGTTAATAACCAAACTTACAATGTCGTATGGAACACTTGATATTTAGAAATTAATGCATACAATACAGGAATAAATTATTTTGATTATAAGTTACAAATAAATACATGTTTATATCATACATGCATGAAAATTGTACTATAAAGATGCAGCATAGTGTCTACTTGATCTTTTAAATTCTGCTAGTTACGTAATTATGCATTTGTACAAAAATGACCAATTCTAGATTTGTTTGCTTTGAATTTTGACTAACATTTCTAAAATGTAAAGCGTAGCATTAAAAAAATTGACTTATTATGGAAAAAAAAATGTGCCTACAATGGCAGGTGATTTTTGTACATACGTTTGACGAAGCTTAGGAGACAAGCTTACCACATACACGGAGACATCCTAGTTTCCTAAACGTGCAAATTTTATTAATCACTAACTTATTACCATAACCGTATGCCTAAAAAGCGCCACAGATTATATAAAGAGGTAGAAAGCCAAAAGCATCCCAAGACAGAAATGGTATAGAACCTCGGCCATCGTAAGCAAATGCGGTCGTGATTAAACGTTCAATTTTTCGTTGAACACATACCGAAATTATACGTGGATCTGTCCCTTCTCCACGGTAACGATTTCTCAACAGCTGTTGGCAGTATTTCCTCTGGCGTTTTAGCATACTGCTTAACGATCCTCGCTTTCAGAGGGTTGAATCCAGGCAGGTTTGCCAACTGGTTCAGAAGCGAGCTACTGTTCTCTTTATGCGAGGACGTTGGACTGACTTCTTTATATCCAGCTGAATTTGGCACCGCCAGATTTTGAGTTGTCGAGGTAAGTATGGTTAGTTTGCGATGCCACATGAGGTTTGCCAGAAGGGAAGAAAATGACAATCAAACTTATTGAACAAGCAGAAATGAAGAGCAAGAATGATAAATAGCATAGTTATGGTGGTCACTTCAAATGATAATTGACTAGCGTTGTTTATTTAAACAAAAACATTTTTTGCAGCACAGGGTTATCAAATACAATGTTTTTAAGGATAAAAACACCGACAGATACAATCTGTCACAAAAATTTACAAAGTTGTATTGTTACGAAAGGAATAAAAAGCAAATAAAAAAGCAAATTTTGACAAACATTTTTAAAACAAAGACGCACATCATATTTTTATAGTAAATATGTACTTTTTTAAAATAAAATAATCCATGCCACAACAAATGCATTTTTAAGACAATCACAGTGAAATAGCCATGTCATTATCCGAAAAGTTTTTATCTGGTACATTGAACAAAATCAATTTAATAGTACGTACCAAATCTCGCGTAAGCTTCCATTACATTATTTAAACCAGTGTTATTATATAAAATAGTGGAACAGACAACGAACAAAAATAGATATATTTATCACAACACAAATAGTACTTGTAGCTCAATGCTTTCATTAACATTTTATAAAAAAAAACGTAAAAAAAAAAAAAGACCTAATAGTTTTTTTGAAATGGTTGATTACGTTAAGAAAATTATTTTAATAATAAAAGTAATCATTTTAACAATAAAGCAATAAAAGAAAATTACGAATCTTAGAAAAGGTCATCCTTCATAGCAAAATAAGTCACCATCAGACGCTGTATGATAAAGACTTTATTGGTGACATTTCGGTAAAAAGGTTTACCACTCAACTATAGCTTGTCATCGCAGGAATGACGACATCTTTGAACTAGTCTAATATCCTTTCTGACATTGAAATACAAGTACTGGATAAGACAGGACATGGTCCATGCAAAATACCTACGTGGGGATTTGGCAGTGAAAGTAATACCGCCGTCATTCTCTTCTCGTCGTGGCTCTTCGTCCTCCTGTAGCACTTCATTAATGTAGTCTGAAAAACAATATGAAAAAACTTTCAATTGTGATCAACCGCTTTAATTTTTATCCAAAGTTAAACAAGCGGGCATCTGATCCTTCAAAAAAATCTTAGCAACCTTTAGAGAAGGCCCTGGAGATGCAGCAGATAAAATATATAATATACTATATTTCTCGTTTACTAGAACTTGTTTATGGGTCCAACAATAACTGCTGTGTGGCCTTACCAATTACGTAATCAAAACTAAATTCAACCTATGTGTTTGAGCAGTACAAAGTTTATATTTACTAGTGACTTTACAATTTTTTGCTTGTCCTATGTGCAGAACATGTGAAGTCAACTTGATGTGAGATTTATGCAATATGCATCTTTCCACAGGATAGATTTAAGGTCTTGATCTACATACACACGAATGAGATATAGATGGAAGTAGGTGGCTTAAAACCAGGCTCTGTAGTTTATATTCAGAAATGGACTCAATTGTGACAGGCTCAATCATATTCATTCATAAAAGTAAAAAGTTTTTTAATAATACGTTATTATGTAGGTATATCGAAATTCTTCTTCGATAACGTGTAAAATTAAGGACTTTAATAAAACAAAATTAATACTCTCGAAAACTGTATAACTACAAACTAAACACCGCATCGTGATTTTTGTGTTTCTAGTCTCAAGTTAACTAATTTATTACATACGTAGAATCAAAGATATAAGATTATACATTACAATCGTTTATAATTACTGGATTTAACTATTTGTGACCTATAATATATGTAAATATAAGCAAATATTAAAATTTTTAAATACAAAATGAGATTGTTGTTTGAGATTTCTTGACTACTAAATAGGCAAACACAACTATGAAATATTCTTTTTGTATTGTTTTTCTTTTTTTTTTTATGCCAAAAGTTGCCAAACGAGCAGACGGGTCACCTGATGTTAAGTGAATACCGCCGCCCATGGACATCTGCCACACCCGAGGGTTACAGATGCGTTGACAACCTTTTGAAAATTGGGCTCCGGCTACCTCACTCACCAGACGAAACGCGAAAGTATTTGTCTTGCTTCCACTTTACGCTGGTCTTCTGTGAGGTCGTGGTACTTACCCGGACGGGCCTGCCCGTTCGTGCAACAGCCGAGGCTGCTGCGTGACCCTACCACATTCAGTTTCCTAATTAATAGCATATCACATTCATAAATGAGCATGCCAAATAACAAAGCAGAAAAAGAATGTAGCAAAATAAAAAAATAGTTGAGTTTTATTTCTACAGACATTCTTTTAAACGAACAAAGCTGTGAACTTATGTAAAATAAGGTAAAATAAAGAAATGTAACTTAATATAAATTAAAAAAAAATACTTAAACCCACACGTGCATGCGAGTGACACTCGTGATAGTAAAATATTAATAAATTATGTACCTAATCTATAATACTTTTTTTTACCGTGCGTGAATTGTTTGGCCGAACCATTTTGCTGGAATTCTGGGAAACTGACATGATTTTTGCCATCCTGAAAAATTTAAGTTCCTTTAAGTGTAATTAAATGATGCATATTATAATATATGCATCTTAAAATAATTTTGATACATTTAATGCAGAATTTGTGAATTTTCAATGGACAGAAAAACATAACCGAAACAATAATTATAAATTAAAAATATGCACTGACATTTAGATTTTGAGAAAAAAAAAAAACTTTTGCAAAGCTCAAGAAATCCGCCATTACGTTGCGTACTAAATCATTTTTGTAAATAATTTTAAGACAGAACTGACGTCTTTACTTTGTAGGAGATACCTTACCTGTTTTACACGTTTACTACGTTTATGATGATGTTTTCGGTCACCGACCAGCCGTCGAATATTCATGTGCGTTTTATAATTGACTTGTGTTCCCAAGTCGCGATCATTTACCGCATGTCTACTGTAGCTCAAACGGCGATGCTGCAAAATTTAAAGTTTATTTTTAGTAAACTACAATTTTCTAACATCCTGTTTAATTTTAAATTGGATATCAAAATTGACCTAACCGGGATATCATCTCAGAGTCTGCCTGGCAATTTTGTTTCTTCTTATTAATTTAAAGAATTTAATTTACAAATTAAATAAGTCTCCTAACAATGGAACAGGCCAGGAATGAAAAGAAGTCACACCCAAGTCCCGGAATACTGTGTTTTAGTTAGTTCTATGATTCCCAGATACCTGTGCCTTCCGCCATCCATTGAGGATTATACTTTACTTTTTATCTAATAAGAGAGATTAAAATGTGAAAGTTTTACTTACTCTTCTGTAAGGCTTGCACAGCTCTTCAGCAAGTAGATGATGAATTCTAGCATCTGTTAAATCTTTCTTGGACGGATTGTATTCCAATTCTTGCATGTCAATGTTCCATGTGGATGAATCTAACTGGCTAAAACTTGGACTGAAAAAAGAAGGTATGTAATAAGTATCATTACTTTTATTTACTTTATACCATACCTAGAGCTTTAATTATTTAAGGGGAGTAAATCATTCAGTTAAAACTAGTAACTTTCGGGCTCGATGTTGAAAATGACTTGGAACTGATATAGGATCTAACAGGTATAAGTATTAAAAACGATAAAAGAATTGAATATTATGAAAGTTGAAAAATCACTTAAAATTACACACATATCATGGCAATTCAAAACAAAAAAAGTCATGATTGCGGTTGCTTTCAATGAAAACAGATCTGTGAAAATGAAATGCGTTCGCTTATTCGGTAAGCGTTGTACATACTCCTAAGCACATTTAACAGTATGTGCGGTACAAAACAAAAAGTAAGTACAGTTATAATTGTACAGTTGTTTGTAACGTTACATCTATTATTTATGTGATGAATTAAAGCTTCCCATATCTTCACTGTCTTAAATTTGTGTGTGTGTGCAACGTCTCTACAAGTAGGGCGATCTTTGAAATACGTTATACGTTTATAGGTTTTTTTTACATTTTTTTACATTGCCCTTACTGTAGGATACATACTGTAGGATAAATTTCACGTGGTCAAATATCCAGATCCGAAACGACTATCTGTTGGTCATACAAATAGTTGTACAAAAACCAATACCTTGACGACTTCATGGAGTCATCCAATACGGCAATGTTTTGCAACCCTAATAAAAAAGATTTTCATTACCTTCCATTAAAGTTGGCATTTGTGTAATTTTTGAATATAGCTGACATTGACTCAGCACCGGATATATTACCAATGGTCGATGCATTTCTTTGCATGTATTCTATGGCGTCTCTCATTGCCAATTTGGAATACGTTTCCAAGATTTTAGGCTCTGCACCCTGATGATACAAATTTTTATATATTTACAAAATAATTTACAAAACAATCATTCACTGGAATGCTAGACTATATTGATGGCATATAAAACATTTAATAGTAAAGCTGCTTAGAATTTAGCTTATGTTTTATCATTGTAATACGACTAAATGAACTAACCTGATAATTTCTTAGCAAGAAAGGTCGAATAAAACGGTTGTCGAATCTCTTAAATTTATCCCTAATATGATGGTTTCCATGTTTTCCTAAAATATCTTCAATCCCTGCCATCAAATGGTCCATAAACTAAAAGGGAAAGATTCCATTTAATAACAACAATTGCAAGATTTCGTCTTCGCCTTAAAATTATGTCTAATTACCCTTTCATGAATTCTTTCATTCATCGTCGGTTTCCTCTTCTCCGCTGTTTTAACGTTTAATATCTTCACTAAGGGCTTTATTGTGATACCTTGAATAAATACTGTGAAGTATATCACAGCTATGGTGGTCGTAACAAACATCGGTTGCAGCTTAACAACCTCGGGATCTATTAAAAGCACTAATGCAAATGCGACAGCTCCTCTGAGACCTTTAGAAAACGAAAAAATAAAATAAAAAACAGGTATTCATGTCTTGAGTTTTAATTTAATTAAATTGGAGTTATCAAGCCATGTTATTAACTCATCAATAAATCGTAGGTAATAATATAGTATATCGTACATCACAACTTTCTCATTTTTTTATATTTCGTAAAAAATCTAAAGAAAAATTAAAAAATAAAATGTAGCAAAATGTTAATAAAAGACAATACATACCTCCATAAGACATCACAAACTTCTCAACAGTATTTAATTTGTGTAACCGAAATTTATTGGCCACAGCACTAAATATGTATACACCTGAAAACAATTTCGGCAATTAGAATTTTTCTTTGGTCTTTTATATAATTTCTTGGATAATAATTATCAAATACCTATAATGCGAAAGACTGAGCAAAATACAATGGTCAATAGCACGAACCAAGTGTTCCAATCGTGATTGTTATTGACCGTTGCCACGCCGAGAAACATAAATATGATAGTCTCAGAGGAGGACGAGAGCATTTTCATGGTATATTTAATCGTAGTGTGGGATTTGTGAGAGATATTCGCTTCTACGTAGTTCTTCATGGTTATACCGCAGAATGTTATCCTAAAAGAAACACGACTTGAATTTTTTCTATATTTACTCCTTCTAATTACTCATTGCAACAAGCTGTATTAAAATCATTTGTTCTTGATTTAAGAATATTTAAATTTGGGTGCAGGAAGTCAATAATAAGAAGAGCTTAAAATACTTTTTATTTGCTTACGCCAATATTCCGCTCATGTGGAACATTTCCGCATTCAAATACGCCAAATACGCCATGACGAAGATGAAAATAGGTTCGATAACTCTAACTTCATGTGTGAAACGAGTGACCAGCCCAGTCGCGAAACCCCACACGACGCCAATGCAAGTTCCTCCAAGGGCTACTACAAGGAATGAAGCGAATCCCGCTAGGAAATCTGTGTACATCAAACGCGACGGACCCATTTCTCTGCAAATTAACACGTAATACGCATTTAAAACACCAAAGAAAGGATTCTAATGGTAACCATGATATTACTTTAAAAAATCGATACTCTTCAAGTATGATATAAGAAATTGAGAAGAATCGAATACAATTTCATCAGCCATTCCAAAAAGATAGATGAGAATATTTCATATTTATGACACACTTTAGACTTCGTATACTTACGTATAGGCTTCGAACATGTGATACAAGACGACGGTTACCGCATCGTTCAACAGTGATTCGCCGAAAACAACAATATACAGTACTTCGTCCACGTGGATTTCTTCGAAGACCGCCAACACAGCAACAGGATCCACCGCCGAAATAAGTGCCCCAAACAGAAGCATATCCAGAAGTGGTGTAGAGCAACCAAACATACCGGTCTGTCCACACGCCCACAGAGATGCACCTATGCAAAAAAATTACGTATTTCACACAAAGTAATAAAGATAACCCATAAACATTATGAAAGTCATTTAATAACCATTACTTTCTGTGCTATTACTAGATTATATGAAGATGGATGTAAAACTATAATGAACCTCGTCAATCGATTATATGAGAGATATTTTATACGTATTTTACATACTTACCAATGGTTAAAGTATTGAACACGGTCCCGACGACTGCAAACAATAGTATTGTTCCGAGGTGATCAAAGAATAGCCTGTTAGGCATGAAGTAGCCAGCATCCAAAATTATAGGTGGCAACATATACAGGAAAAATGTATCTGGAGTTAACGGCTGCACATGAACGCTATGAGTGCTCAGAAGCAAAGCACCGATAAGAACTCCGACAAAAATCAGGAGGCAGGATTCCGGAAACATCTTCGATAATTTTGGCGCCATGTGGAATCCTGAAATTTTATTTTACAAGTAAGGCCACTAATAATATAAAAAGATAATGACTTTTATGATGACAATTACTTGCCAGTTGTGACAAATTGTTGTTATGTTGGTCAACGAAAAATTGTAAAATTATCAAAAAATGTAAAATAAAATTTTTAAACTGATTTTGTTTCACAGCACTGATAGCTATATTAATCTACCTTTAGAGTGTCATAAAACTAACAGTTCCAAAATATCATTATGCGTGATACGAATAGAGGACATAAGGTAGCGCGAACAAAATCGCATGCCAGTATTTACAATATATATTCTTCAACATCGCGTTCAGAAAAACGTGATACAGTAGAAAATTATCTATTCCATTTACACAATACTCCATTAATCACCAGTGAAAAGTACTATACAACTTTTGAAGATAATATCAATACACATAAAGTTGACTCAGTAAGTACTTTGTTTTATGACTTAGACACGATAGTGAAAAGGAGATCACTTAACTGCAGTTCAGAAAAAAGTTTTGTAAAAAGAGAAGAAAATTATGTTAAAAACAAACGAGATAGTAATAAATATAAGTTGAAGCATAATAGAAAAGATTATGAAGTATGGGAATACCTAAAACGATCAATGCTTGATAGTGAAACTGATTCAAATGAACTAAAAAAGATTCCCCATGTAATATCGTCCAATTTTAAAGATACATGTGTTTGGGATAGTGACGCTTATATTAAGCCCCATCGGCGTTTTGGAGAAAAATGCGTCAAAAATGAACAATTGTGCAATTATACAAAATACCATACAGAAAATTGCAGCCCTTTAAAAGTAAATAGAAAAAAAAGGTGTAAGGAAAATATTCCAATCCTTCTAAAAAATACTCATAAATCACCTAAACGTATTCGTAGCGGTGCAAAATTGAGAGCAAAGTTAAATAAAAATTTAAAGGGAACTTACGAATTAGATAATTTAAGCAATATTTCACAGTCCCCAGACAGGAAAAATAGCACTAATATTCAAACAGTTAAACATGAGAGCTCATTTTACAAAGTTCCTGTAAAAGAGACTATCACGAAATTTGCACATTCTTCGGAGCCAGAATACTCAGAGTCTCTGGGGTACGATTGTAAGCACGTTTCTAAAATTAAACATAAGCCTATAAAAAAACGTCATATAACATGCCCTAATTGCAAAGAAAAGGTTCAACTTATTACTACAACAGATGACGACAAGGGATGTGAACACAAAAATAATAATTATAATAACAGCATTGAACTAAGTCGAACTTTGAATTTCAAATATTTACCAAACAATTATAAAAATGACAGCTTGAATAATGCAGGTTGCAGCCATGAACCAAAATGCCACGTGATCCCTTTGTGCCAAATGGTACCTTCAGAAGAAGTTTTCGAAAAATTTAAAGCAACTCGAATTCCGCATATTCTTCGCGAGACGAAGGTCTGTAGGCATAATTCACCCCGCACAATGGAACCATCATGTCGAAAAACTAAACTTTTACAAAACGATTACCAATATCTAGTTGATTGTTCACATAGTCCTAGATGTATTAATATACCTTTATGCCTTGCATGCCCTGAAAATATCAATTGTAATGAATTTTCTATAAAACATTTAGACGACAGAGATAATTCAGAATGCCAAGGCAGTCATTTTAAATATGTCCCAAGGCATGAACAAGACGCTATAATCAATCCAATTTATCAAAACAAAATAGGAGAATCATACACATGCTGCAACCCTTGTGCCCATACTTTATTAATGCAAACAAATATAACTCCAAAAACTAATTTTCCGTATCAAGTATCAAATGAGACTACTTATAACAGTTGCAAATTAAACAAGTCATGCCAATACGGTGGTGTTGGTGCTGCTAACAATGTGCAAAACAATCCTCGAAATGTAAAGAGTGAGGGTGTGATATTCATCAGGGATGTTGGTTGTCAGTTTAATGCCAAACTTAAAAAAATTAAAAGAAAATCTGAACAAACGAAAGATACAAAAACATCTTCCGCCGCCATCTATCAGAGAGATAGCAATCGTGTAACAAATTCTTACAGATCGCAATGTGAATGTAAAAATATAAATATACAACCAGATGCCGAGATTGAATCAACAGACGTATGCTCTGTTGATGAAAGTTCTAGCAGCAAACCTAGTACACACAAACCTCAAACAAATCTCACCAGGAATCGTATAAGTGGTTTTGTCCCTAACGCGAACAGGTCACAATTCGTAGCCTACAGCACGCTTACGGAACCAGTGCTAACGAATTATCTATCAAGAAGCATAATAAAAGGAGACGCTCTACATAGTGAAACTTTTAGCAACATTTCACCTACACGTGTTCTATCACGCAGAAGCTTTTTTAAGCAGAAGTACAAAAAAATATTTTGTGTAAGACGACGTCGAAAGTCTAGAATGTGTAACCAAAGTGTTGTTCTGTGGGAATGATGGCTGATAATAAAACAATGACGTTGTAGTTTTTGTATATTTATTTATATAATAAATTATTGCTTGAAATTAATTTTTTAACTGAAACCAAATAAATAATTTCAATAAGATGTACGCAACTGCTTCCTAAAATAGTCCGTAATAAACATGACGCTTCTCGTACTAGACTTATGCGTCGCAAAGTTCTTATAATTTTAAATAATTTTCTTCTTATAATTAAAATGAACAGAACTAAATTATCTGTACGCCCTCATTCAAATATCAATGAAGTAACAGATTGGTATACAAACATTTATGTCTAACTTTTACCTATTGTTTTGAATTCAAATATCCTAACATAAATGTTCCTAAAAATAAAATAATTATTTACTTTACTTTATAAGGATTTTCAAATAAAACTACTTCAATTTTTTAAGTAAATGTTAGAGTAAAATATACAAAACGCATTTTAGTGGTAGTCTATCACAATTGACAAAATCAAAGTTTTTACGACCCCGCAAGTTCAGTTGATCATTGAAAAAACAGTCATTCAGTTTGTTAGGTATTTTATACTTACGGGTGAATAATAATGAAATGAAAACTTAAAATAAGTTTCTCAATTAACGTATGTCTTCCTTTCAATGAAGCGTCTATAGCCCAGATTAGCTTCGTACTTTTTAAATGGCAGCCTATTATTTATCGTAAATGTTCCAACGGCATCGTAACTATCTGGGTCACTGTTACCGCAAACGAAGCCCTACTTTCTTTTACCCATGTTCTCAATTTACCAACATCAAAGATCCGAAGTTTATAACAGTCAATAGAAACCGCTCAAATGCATAAATTGGAAAAGTTTTGTATACAAAAAAAGAACGCTTACTATAGATTGTAATGATTTTAGTGTTCTCCCTTGCACGTGGTTGATATACTTAAAAGTATATTTATATAGATTTCTAATATATTATTAGAAAATAAGATATATAAACATAATACATGTTGGCGCTGGCAACACAGTATACCGGATTTGACGTTAAATACTCGAGCTAAGGGACACATGGTCGCATGGAGCAGCAGTCACTGAGATTTCGGCTGCGTTCCTGGACAGTGATATAACCACTAGTGCTACTTGTCGTTATAAGAGTTGTTAAGATTCAAGTTCGGTAATAGTTAAAATATTAGAATCAAAGTAAAAAATGTTACAACTCTTATATACACATTAATATTAAATTATCGCCGAACTTTTCTAATTTTCTTGCGGTTTGTTATTGAGGATTAACTCCTGAGGTTTTAAATATTTTAGAGCTGTGATGGTCATGGGATGAACTGAGGTGTACGTCTAGATGTCACTGGTAACCCGGGTGAATACGGACAGGCGGTGAGCTCGAGGATTTATTTTATTCATAACAAGAATACCGTCATGAATCAAGCACCAGCTCTTAAATCTAATAAATCATTACGTATTTTTTTTGTATATACGTAAAAAAAGACTATCAGTAACCTTAGAAATCTTGTACCAGAGAAGACACAACTTTGAGATACGCCATTGAAACTGGCACAAGGACGGCGGTGAAAATTGTGTTGGAACTGAACAAGTGTGATAAGGCGACTCTTACATCACAATGTAATCCTTATCACACTTGTTCAGTCCCACAGGACATTATTTAAGTTTAGACCGATATTTCCTACTGGTCTCTATGTATTTTATACTCGTAGCCAATGCTTTCATTCGTAATAGTTAATGTTAAGGAAATTGAAAGAATTTTCAAAATTGAACTTTTGATATGATGTACTTTAATAGCTGTGATTATGTAACAAGTTCCGAAACCCAATAAAATATCTAGTATTTTTTTATTACTTTTTAATACGAAATACAGATGATGCTTTTTTTTGTTACTCACCACCAACACTACCTTATGTAGATTTGGCTGTATAACATTTATTCAATCAATAAAACAGTTTTTTCCTAATATTCAATATTAAAATTCTGTATAGGTATTTTTAAGGTTTTTCCGTCACCTAATAATATAACTGTAATAAAAAATAATTAGTCGAATGAAATAAACGAAACTATTACCTATCTTAGCAATACTAGCGAAGAATATCCAAAGTCCGATCAGGAAGGGTGTCTCAACGCGATGGAACTCTACGGCCGCAATGACGATGGTCCTCTCCTTTTTAGGTTTCACTGTGGTCGGGGTTTCCGTCGTGGTCTCTTGTTTCTGCTGAAGTTGAGTCCCCGGGGAATCCCCGGGCAGCGGTGCCACCGGACCCATCGGGCCGAACCCGAGCCCGGGATAGGTGGACATGCCATCGACTGTTATGGACGGAGTGTGTTTCGTCGTGCTCTGTGAACAATAAGGAAACATTTGGAAGTGACTTGTGAAAAAAAAACAGTTTTTTTTTTAACTTTTGGAGAACTTGGAACTTTTTAAAATGTGAAAAAAAATGTAATTATAAATAAATAAAATTTTCATCACAAAATTTCTACAGAAAAAGGAAAGGCAAAACAAAGTAATTAAGTGACATAATAAAAGTTAGCCGCCGCCAATTGACATAAATCAAAATAAAAATCAAAAGTATATTTATTCAAATAGACGCTAGCGCGCTCTTATGAATTTTAAAATTTTACATCAAAAATTGTATATAGGACCGTAAGGTACCACCGGTTCGGAAAGCAGCTTCTGTTGAGAAGAGACCGGCAATAAACTCAACAGTTGCTCTTTTTAAAAAGTATCAGTTTACAATATAACATACAGGTATAATAGTCTTATTCTAGCCTACGTGAGTATCAACAGTATTAACTCCACACATTGGCGTCGTCGAGATATTCGGTAATGGTATAATATGCTTTAACCATAAGTTGACTTCTAATTTTACGTTTAAATTGGTTAAGCGGCAGACTTAATATCGTCTGTGGAATTTTATTATACATGCGCACGCTTTGCCCCATGAACGGCCTATTTACTTTTTGTAGACGAAACAATGAACATATGAAAGATCCAGGATTACAGGTGTATTACCACCTTTTAATACAATGGGTCCTCACCTACCTCACTGACCAGACGAAATGTAAACTTCTACTTCACACCGGTCACACTACCATTCGCGCAGAAGACTGTTGCGTAGCTCTACCACAGTTAAAATATTATCATATTTACATTTTTGATGACTCCGTGGCGCAGTTGCCGAGGTATTGGCTTAGTGTATGTCCACATGAAATTTATATTTTTAAAATGTCCTTACAACACAAAATAATGCTATCCTAAAGTGAGGTCAATGTTTTAAAAATAATAATCCAAATCCATCGACTCTTTAAGAGTTAACGTTCATTTTCCAAATTTCTCGCAGATTACAAATATATCTCATGACTAAAACGGCTTTAGGCAAATGTTTGTTATTAAATACTTTGAAAGTTGAAACATACTCGTAAGTTATAATGCTAGTAAATGTGGAAATTATTTTAATTAAAATTAAGTTATATAATAAATTCTGTCTACATTATCTATCTTAAAAGATAGAAAATAAATAATTTACCATACATTTTCACAATCATCACTTTTTCAGTGTTACAAATGCATAATATATTATCTTTATTTTGCGTAGATCGAAGCGTTACTTCGTAACATCGCACTGCAGTCTTTTAGTAGCTGGCGCGAACGTTTTACTTGACCTTGTTAACGCACACGCTTTGTGTTCTTACTATTGTTGACCTTCGTACTTTTATATAACATATTGGCTTCAGAAACTCCAAATAAATCTACAGAATATCGTGATTTTTCCCAAAATTCTTCTAACTTAGACGCTTACCAGCCTTAAACGTTGATTTCCAACCGACTTCAAAAGGAAAAGGTTCTTAATTCGGTTGTAATTTTTAATTTTATACGGCATAACTCGGTCTTTTATTCATCGATTTTAAAAATTAATTTTGCATTGGGTCCATTTTAGCTCCTAGTAGTCCCATGTTGGCCTTATTCTGTTTTACTTGGCCTTATTCTGTTTTTTGACCTTTTTTTGTTATAGAGGCAACAGAAATACATCATATTCTGTAAAAATTTCAACTGTCTTACTATCACAGTACACGAGATACAGCCTAGTGACAGACGGACAGACAGACAGCGGAGTCTTAGTAATAGGGTCCCTTTTTATCGTTTGGTTACGGAACCTTAAAAAAATGTCACACTCATGCTAGCTACATGAGTGTCACCATCGCCTTTTGAAATTCAGTCGTAAACTAACCTTTTTGTTGCGACTTAAAGTTTACTGGATTTAACTTGTTCTAAACGGTTCTTAATAATATGTCCACGGTTCAACCGTTATATAAATAGAAACTGTAAAAACTTCGTTCTATACAAAGATGCTTCCTGATTTCGTTTAAATTTAAATCTTTTGTGCTAGTTTCGTTTTCACCACCGCTTAAGTGACACGCTGAAGACTTTAGTAGATAACACTTAAGCGGTATATTATTTCTAGCAGAACATTATTTAATACATAAAATGAACAAGGAGGAAGTAGTGCTCTAGCTATTTAATCGGAACTAATAGAACATTCGCAATGCTGATAACGTTTGTGCGGTAAGACATAATGGGACTTTGTATGAAATAGCAATTTATATGACCACAGTACGCGTACAACTTCACTGTAAGAAACGAACATTTACGAAGATTTATCTTAAGAGATTATATCAACAGAAAACTCAATATTTATAAGATTTTCATAAATAAAATTTACCCTTACAAATAACGATTTCATTAAAATATTGGTTTATTTTGAGGAAAATTTAATCCAAGATTAAAATTTTCTTTTAAATTATAATATTATTTTTTTTAAATAAATATTACATAAGGGTTCAAACCTAAACGTTTTTGTTTTTTTCGCACTCTCTGAACCAACGTAGAGGTCTGTAAACAAACCCTATTTTTCAAATCTATAAATTGTTTTCTTATATATTTATTGTGGTACGGCCACGTAGCAGCTTCTACTGTTGCATGAATGGACTTATCCGGGGGAGTACCACAGCTTCACAGAAAACCAGCGTTAAATGGAAGTATTATACTTTCGCGTTTCGTCTAGCGAGTGAGGTAGCTAGGGCTCCCTTTTTTAAAGGTTAACAGAAGTGTATCGATGTAAGGTTGTAGATACGTATCTACAACTCCTCGTGTTGCAGATGTCCATGGGCAGCGGTGATCACTTAACATCAGGTGAACCGCCTGCTCTCCTGGCAAGAGTTCACATAAAAAAAATATATATTATTTATGCAAATAGATATACTAATGGTATTGTAAAGGCCAAAGGCAACACGCAGCCTAGATACGTACGGCATTGATTGATTGACGCGGCTCGAGCAGTGTTAAATCCATGTGAAATAAAGCGAAGTGTGAAAAATGGAAAGCTTTACCCTTCAGCTGACTTTATATGACTCTTTTTTTTTAATCAAATAGGAATTGAATGTGTTTTTATATAAAAAATTATATGGGAATTTAGAAATAGGCTTATTCTAGATTAAATAAAATGCAACTGTGTAGATTGCACCAAGGTGTCAACCTTCGAATAAATGACCTTTTACCTCCCTTTTGCCACAAGGTCTACAACTATGCAAACATGCCTTTGTTGTCTTAGTACTTATTCGCGCACAACATTTAAAAAGAATCATGACTAAACTGTGTATTCTTTTGGAGCATAACATTGTTATAAATTATCAAAAAGCACAGCATCATTTTCTCAATGCACTTTTCGATCTAAGTTTTGCCAGCATATTTTTTTTCCTCCATTTATAATTTCAAGTCGGATTTGTGGCGCCAACAAGTGTGCTTCTACTAATTGCGAAGGGAATTATTTTAAGAATCTGCAGCGTTAAATGCGCAAAATTTTAATGGAAATGGATGACAAAAAATTTATTTCTTCGAAGTTTGTTTCTTTTTTTTTATGCGAAAAGTCGTCAAACGAGCAGACGGTTCACCTGATGTTAAGTGAATACCACCGCTCATGGACATCTGCCACATCCGAGGGTTACAGATGCGTCGACATCCTTTTGAAAATTTGGCTCCGGCTACCTCACTCATCAGACGAACCGCGAAAGTATTTGTCATACTTCCACTTTACGCTGGTCTTCTGTGAGGTCGTGGTACTTACCCGGATGGGCCTGCCCATTCGTGCAACAGCCGAGGCTGCTGCATGGCCATACCACCGTTGATAAATATACAGGCAGTTTTTGACAAATGGCAAAGTTCGTAGCTTTAGTGAAATTTACATCGCCTCTCATGTCAAAAATATCTCCACCTAAAATAGAATACATAAAAGACGCGTGGCTTTTTTCACTTCTGATACCATTGTGTCTCTGACTCTGTATACAGTCTAAAAATGAAAGGAAAATATTTATGTCGATACAAGTAGTAAACATAAAGCCTAAATAATATTTCCCAACGTTCCGCACGAAATTTGGCAAAAAGCACTACTAGGGACTGTAGACCTCAGCATCTGGTGTAAATTTCAACTTGCTAGGTCCACCCGTTCTTGAAAAAATTGGTGGTGATTATTTAGCAATTTCATTATGGCAGTATAATAAATACATACGGAACCATCAGCGTACAAATTTGACTCACGCTTGACCGGTTTTTTTCATTCTGTTCTTTATACATTATTTTGATCTTTCATGAAAGGGATTTACTTACAAGGAAAATCTTTTTTTATTCAATACAAGACATCCAGAAAATAAACGTCAAATAAATCTATCTTAATTAACGTGCTATGGATTCTATCAGTTCTTATGCTAATCATAGTATATTGCTGTGTCCGACCTTTTAAATTTAAAATGCGATCCCCACTTAACCTTTAGTCGAACTATCAGTGGTTAGATCTTAAGATCACTTCAGAATTAGTATTACGAGAAATTTTATGGAAATATTTCATCGATGATCTTTCTCTCTCCCTGCCCCCTGTGCATTTATTATGAATATTTAATCAATGATGTAGTTGGCCTCACTTTTGGGCCTTTTTGACCAGCTATGGTGAGATTCGACAAGATTTTGCTGTGTCCGTTCAGTGAATCCATACGGTGCACAATTTCAGTGATTATAACTCTCCTGTGTCATATGAGTATGTATTACCTATCCTTATGTCACCTAGTTATATATGAATCTACTTCTATGACTTTTATGTCAATATTTCGTCAATGAGAATGACATGAAAGTCCAGTATATCACTGTAGTTTTTTTTTATGTGAAAAGTTGCAAAGCGAACAGACGGTTCACCTGATGTTAAGTTAATACCGCCGCCCATGGACATCTGCTACACCCGAGGGTTCCAGATGCGTTGACAACCTTTTGAAATTGGGCTCCGGCTACCTCAC